AAAATGTAATATTAGTGGATCTCATAAATAGTAATTTTTTGAATTTTGATTTTGTATAACTCAAGACAAAAGATACTTCTTTTTCATTTTTTATTTTTTTGTTTTTCTCCAGTACCGAGAATCAAACTCACGACCTTGCGCTTGCCAGGAAGGCGCTGTGCCACTGAGATAAATCCCCAGCCCAAAAAGATACTTCTATGAATAAAAAATAGTGAAATAAAACAAGAATGAATGTGGAAGATGTTGAACGAAAAAAAGAGAATGAATGTAGAGTTAGTGTAGATTATTTTTAATTTTTGAAGGGAGGAGAGTGTTTTTAAGCGATTTGGCTCTTTATTTGCTTTTATAATTGATGTGGTCCTTTGTTTTTTATTTTATTTGAAAATGACATATTGATGAGGGAAGGAATAGGCAACAACATGCTTTTTTAAAATCCTCAAGTTTTCAATCAGCCACACTTTTATGGCCTAATGAAGCCCTGCCTTTGTATTTGGAATGAGTCACTAAGATCACCCCCTTTCCAGCTGACACCTCTGTGAACAACAAAAGCCACCTGACATTTACCTTTCATTTTGTACAGAGACAGACATGGGGCTATGAAGTAAGACAGAAGGATGAAATTCCGTTCCCACAGTGTACTTATGATCATGATATGTTATTTCTTAAACATGTGGGGAAAAAGAAGTGATTTTATGCAAAGGTGTACCGGGTCACGTAAGCATCCTTATTTATGATAGAATTTATGATATAACACATTCCAAGAACAGGGGGTAAAATCAGATTTGTTATAATCAAAAATATGTTTTTTGGGTTTGGTTTTTTTTAGTCTTTTTGAGACAGGGTCTCCCTATGCAGTTCAGGCTGGCCTGGAGCTCACTTTGTAGCCCAGGCTGGTCTTGAACTCACAACAATCCTCCTGCCTCAGCCTCCAGAGTGCTGGGATTACAGGCGTGCACCGCCATGCCCAACATTCAAAGTATCTTGTATATATATTTTAAGTCACTATTAGAAAAGCTAGCCGAGCATGGTGGTACGTATTTATAATCCCAGCACTTGGGTGGCTGAGGCAAGAAGGCTCAACTACTGAAGTAGGAGGTCAGCCTGGGCTACGTAGTTAGTTCAAAGCCAGCCAGAACTACATAGCAAGAATCTGTCTCAAAAAAGCAAAAACAAAAAGAAAGAGGAGAGGAGGAAGGAAAAAAATGAAAAGAAAAGCTTGTTAAAATATTTGTTTAAACTCTGAAAATTTCTAAGTTTGAAAATTTTCAAGTTTACAGAGAAATTAAAGGAATAGTTCTGTGATAATCTGAAAATATATGCTGTCTGAGTCCACTAATGGAAATGGAGGAGTAATTAGGAATTCTTATTATTAATCTCTCTTTTTTCAGAAAAATAAGTTCTAAAAAGTTATAAAAATATTTTTTACTCAGTGATAAAGAAGAATGAAATCATGTCACTTGTAGAAAGAATGGATAGAACTAGAAGCCATCATGTGAAGTGAAATTAGCCAGATCCAGAAAGTTAAATATCACATGTTTTCTCTTATTTGAGAAACTAGATAAATAAATAAAGCAGAGGCGGCAGGAGGCCAGGAGGTAGACTTTTGCAGATTGGGAAGGACATCACCAGGAGTGGGGTGGAAAAGCAAAGGAGGTGAGTAGGGTTGAAAATGATCAAGATATGTTAAATGCATGTACAAACCTCCCAGAACAAACCCCACCATTCTATAATATTATCATGTACTAATCAAAAACATTTTAATTTTTTTTATATTGACTGTATGTGCTTTCTTATGTTTTATAAAGGGACTTTATTATTCTTATTTCAAGACTATTATTGAAGCACCTTCGTTTTTGGAAGGCCTGTGGATGATTATGAATGACAGGCTCACTGAATATCCCCTGGTAATTAATACAGTGAAACGGTTCCATCTTTATCCAGAGGTGAGTGAGACTTGAGACAAATAATACTTGTAGTGTGATTTTTATTTAATCAGGTAAAGGTGCTAAGTATAATAATGCTACTAAAAGGGAGGAGACCTATTTAAGTTGATTGATTATAGATGTTCTTATAGTTGAGTAGAATACTGAAAGTTCCTTTCTTAATGTATAAAGGTCCCAGTAACAACATTCATGTGAACTCAAAGAATAAGTGTTAGTACGGGAGTCACAGCCAGGTAATAAACCAGCCAAATGAGAAAGTGAGTCATGAGTGCTAGAGAGGGTCTGTGGGCCTTGGATACATGCGGGCAGACACGGTGACCACATGAAGGGCCAGCAAAAGTGATGAGCTGGAAGTAGTCTTACAGTGACAGTTACATTAGTGAAAGGTTTGAGGGGCCGAAGGTGTAGCTCAGTGGTAAAGGTTTGATCTGTTGCACTGATGGAGAAAAGATTGTTCTAAAGATTTATTTAGTCACATAGCCAGAAATCTCTAGATATCTTTTAGTGCTTGGCCTTAAAATTTAGTATGGTTTCTATGGGAACCTGTACATTCTAGAGATTTGAAAAGCAACAATAGATTAGTAAAAATTTGTAGGCTCTTCAAGATAAATATTGAATTTGACATGGTCAACACTAATTTTGAGCTTTAAGTTATCTCAGAGTATGGCAGTTTAATTACAAGTTATTAATTTTTAGTTCTTCCTTCATATTTAATAGGTTTAAAATTTGTTATTTCTATTTTGAAATGTTTAAATTATAGAAATTTAGAAACTAATACTTACCTATGCATTGTCATAAGCAAATGCTAACCTTTTGCCATTTTTGCTCTAGATTTTTAAAATAACTTAAACATTTAAGTGACACCAAAATAACCTTTATTTTGCTTCTAAACCCTTTCCATTTCTCACAAGATCCTTTATCATAATATGTGCGGATTCATCTGCTCCATTTCAAGCATGGTTTTACGTGTTTCAAGTCTACATAAATGTTCTCACACTAAATATACCCACTCTACAACATTTCCTCAGCATTATATTTTCAAACTGTGTATATATGAGTATTTAGTCTTTTAATTTTAACTTGAATTAATCCCAGATTTTATTTGCACATTTTTCCTATTTGTAGACACCATTATTTCTGATCTTCCTATTACCAACAGTTCTAAATGCAGGCTCCTGTTGGTGCCTCCTCCTGTGCATGGGCAGGATTTTCTCTCAGCCAAGTACCCAGAGGTGCAGTTGTGGTGCAGAGCAGTGAGCCTTTGTCAGTCTTGCCGGATATTGGTGAATTGGTGTCTCCAACAACCACACTACTATGTAGCAGAATTCACTTTCTCATACCCTTATGAGTTCTGAAATCAGGAGATGGTGCCTGGGATGTGCTTTCTACGTTAGCTTGTAATTCCTTCATTATTTCTGCAGCTAAACATATTACCAAGTTGAGTAGGATTTTTGGATATTTTTCTACCCATAACCTATATAAATCTTTGCCATCTATTCAGTAGTAGTTTTCTTATTGATTTGTTAGCATAGTTGCTGTATTCTGTATAGTTACCTTTAGTGATCTGTGCTGAGCATGTCTTTTCACTCTGACCACTTTCTTTTTATTCATTCAGCTTTCGCTTTCTTGAGGTGTAACTCACGTGTAATAAAATGCACTCATTTTGAGTGCGCAGTTCTTGAGTTTTGACAAGTAGCAGTGTATAGCAGTGTGTAGCAGTGTATAATGATCACAGCAGTCTAGTTACAAAACATTTTCATAATGCCAAAAACTTCCCGTGTGCTCCATCATGGTAGCCGTTTTTCCCCTTTGGACTGTCTTGGCACGTTTGTTGGAAATTGATTCACCATGTTATGTGGAGACCCATTTGGGGACTCTATATCATTTGAATAATCTGTATGTCTGTGCTGATGCCCAAACTGTGCCTTCTTAATTACTGTACTTTTGAAAGAAAGTAGTTTTCTTTTGAAAGAAAGTAGTTTTCCAATTTTGTTTCTCTTTCCCAAAGATGCATTTTTATATACATATTAGAGTCAGTTTCTCAATTTCTCCAAAAAATTTTGCTAGAATCTTCAGATTACATTGGATTTATAAATGTATTTGGAAAGACTTGACATCTTAATGATACTGAACTTTATAATCCATGATTATGATATAGATCTTCATTTTGTTGATTATTTTTAATTTGTCTCAGCAGTGTTTTGTATTTTTTGACAGTTATCCCTAAATACTTTTTAAAAAACTCTTATAAATGGTATTATTTAAAAGTTTTTGTTTCCTTTTTGTTGTTTTTGTACAGTTTAGTTTTGAATATTCACTTTGAACTGGCATCTTGAAGTCATTCAGTGCTTTAAGTAGCTTTCTTGTGGATTCTTTTTTTTAATATGATGATGTTGGCCATAGATAAAGACAGTTTTACTCCTTAGTATCCAATCCATGTACTTGAAGACATTTTAAAACAGCTTTATTGAGCTATAATTGGCTTACCATGGCTGGTCGCATATGAAGTATACAGTGTGATACTCTTTGACCCAAGCACCCAACCAGGAAGCCATATGCAGTCCAGACATGCTCCTGTCCATCATGCCAGGAGTTCCCCTGTGCTCCATGGTAATCTCTTCTTGCTCCTCTCCTCTGCCCGCATTCTGTCCCCGGGAAACCACCTGTGTGTTGTCTGTCGCTATAGTTCTGTTCGCATTTTGTAGAATTTTATACACATAGAATCATTGAGTTGTTCTGTGCCCAGGTCTTACTTTTACAGTTGACTGAATGGTGACACAGACAGTCAGATGTTACTCATTTTCCCTGGGGAAGGGAACAGATTGTGCCATCGGGGCCACCAGGGAGATACCAGTTTGGCCAGGCAGAAGCAAAAGCAAGGGGACAGCCTAGGCCAGAGCTCTTGTTGGAGGTCTATGGGACAGGCAGAGCAGGGCAGAGTAAGAAACCCGTCAGCAGAATCAGAAGACAACTGGAAAATTGAGAGAAAATACTTGTCATACATGTCACAGAAGGAGGGCTTGTCCGTGCAATGCGAAAGAGCTATGTGTTCTGGTTTGGAGATGAAGAGAGCTAGAGAGAGCAACACTTTCATCCCTGCCACAAGAAAACAACTGCACAGACTCTTAAACTAATGCATTTTCTTGAACTCATCGGAAAACTGAGGTACAAAGCAAACAATCAACAAAAAATTCCAGGAGGGATGGGTGCCTCGAGAGAGAAATTGGGCATAAGCACTCAATCAACTGGGATAGATGCCGCTACATGATATATTAACCAGCAGGAAGACTAAACTAGAAAAATTTTACTGAACTGCTAAAGGCTCAGTGTGTGTAGTGTGAGATGCAAAGGCCCTGGGGTCACAGGCTCCCTTGGGGAAGGGGGAGTGAGGTTTCCCTGTGAGCGAGGGAGAGAACAGCAACACTGTCCATACCCCATTAAACCCATATCCCCAATCTCCCCTAATTAAAAAACACCATGATCTATGGGGAGAAATTATCAAAGCTACAGTTTGAGGACATTGGTGAGTACTCAGTGCAGCTGGTAGAAGAGAACACACAGAGGGCTGGGGATTTAGCTCAGCGGCAAAGCACCTGCCTGGCAAGCGCAAGGTCATGAGTTCAGTTCCTGGTACCGGAGAAGAAAACCAAAAAAAAAAAAGAGAACACACAGAAAAAGAATCAATTTAAAAAGCAGCTGTGTTCCTGGACAAGGGACAGGACCACCTGTGAGGTCTCACCTGCAAAATCACCATTGACTGTACCTGCCTAAGACAAAAACTTCTCACCCGAACTGCAACTACTGCATTAATGAACTGTAAACAAAGATATAACAGTAGAATTGGGCTGGGTGAGGTTTTGTTTTTCAGCATCAGGTACATGCCCTATGCCCCAGTCTGTGTTGAGTGACTTACAAGGGACAGTTTCTTTCTAGAAAGCAGCACAAAGAAAAAATCCCAAACCATGCTAAAGACATGGTACCACAAGAGTAATCTGAAATCCCTGGTGTCCATAGCAACAGCAGACTCCAGTTTTGGCAATCTTAACAACAATAGGCATCAAACCCAGCCCGTCTCCTGGACTAGTTGAATACAAACCCCCACAATAAAGGCTTAGCTGAAGGAAAGGAAAATTCTGGATGCTGAGAAGTTCAGGATCAAAATCCTGGCAGGCTCACTGTCTTGTGAGATTGCTGTCTACTGTCAAGGTGACCCCTGGGTGTGATGTTGCAACCCCTGGGGACAAGGGGGCACTATCTTCCAGTAGTAGAAAGTCAAAGGGAAGAGACCTGATGAAGACTGTTTGGTAAGGGCCTTAGTCCTATTCACAAGCGCGTCTTCAAGTCCCCGCCTCTTAGTGCTGCCACACTGACCACTAAGTTTAACACCTGAGTTTTGCAGGGAGCACATTCAAACCATCGCAGGGCCACTGGTGTTTGTGCATTGTGAGGCTTTTGAACTCCAAATATGAGAAAATGAGGCAGAAAGGGAAGCTCAGGGCACACATAATCATGTTAGTCTTTGGGCTCTATGTCCGCTTCCTCCTCTCCACTTCCCAAGAGTTCTCTTATGCTTGATTTATATGTGATACATAGGGTTTTTATTTGTACTTGGAGGGAGCAATAGGGAAAAGGATATGTAGTCCATCATCCCAAAAGCAAATGTTGGCATTAAGTATTTGTATACTGTTTTTTCATTTTCCTTCAGTTCAAATTATTTTCTAATTTCCTATGTTATTTTTCCTTGATCCACTGTAAATTTAGAATGATGCTGTTTAATTTTCAACATAATGTGGCGGTTCCCCAGATGTATATGTTTTAAAATGTCACTTGTAATAGTAACAGTTGCACAGTCCGCGTAGAATGATAGGAACACTTTCTGCACCAACTTTCTCTGTATCCCGCGTTACCCTTCAGGCATAGTTCTGATTTTACATACTTCCTCTTATGGTTATCTGTCTATGGTTCATGCAGGAATTACACAAAATGCTTGTTTCTTATATCTTCAATTTAAGTTAATATTGACTAACTGTGCATATATAAGATGAGGACTTGTTCTAGTGTTCAATAATTATTATTTTTATTTTTTAGATCTTTCAATTTATTATGCATTGATTTCCAAGAGAATAATCTCAGAGACCTTAACTACTTTTTTCTTTTTACTTATTTAACAATATTTATTTAATAATTAATATTTTTAGTTTCTTCTTTGATGTCATGAAATAGTAATTATTATATTATAATTCCTTCTAAAACTTGATAGCTTTATGAAGGACAGGTAACAAGGAGTTGTTCTCAGTCTTATTTTCATATTTTGTAAACAGTATTGAGAAGATCTAAATTTCCTGCCACCTCTCAGGTAGAACAACAATGTTGAGTTCTACATTCCTACCTTTTGTGTTCATGAGATTAATTTCTCGCATGAAGCTAAAAACCTAAATTTAGATCAATGTTTTTAAAAGGTAAAAGTAATAATTGCCATGTGCCAGCACTTTTTGTTTTGTTTTGTTTGGGTTTGGTTTTTTTGAGACAGGGCCTCACTCTGTAATTCAGGCTGGTCTTGAACTTACCGTGCAGCCCAGGCTGGCCTCAAATTTGTGACAACCCTCAGCCTCAGCCTCCTGAGTGCTGGTACTACAGGTATATGCCACTATGCCTGGCAGTAATTTTTAAAAAGCCCTCATCTTCCCTCCCTCTTGCACGTGGGGCTCCTAAGGCTCACTTGAAGACAGAGAAATAATAACGGGCACAATTCAGGATTTCGTTTTAGATCCGATGTGAAAGCCCTACTTTCTGTGCTGTATCAGAGCACAGCTCAGAGAGGAATAGAATTCCAGATTTAGTCCACACTTTAGCGCTGTACTTTTGTGTATGTGTGAAAAATGCACCAGAATAGGAATGATGTGACAAATTTTAGCAGAATGTTGTTTTCAAAAATAAAACAATAAAACAGTAAATGTACCCTTACTGGCATTGAAAAAGGTTTATGCTGCTGTTTAGTGATGTATATTCTATTACTATCTAGAGTATGACCTCGATCTCACTATGTGATGAGTAACTCTGTGTCCTTTGAACGTTCAGGGAGGGGACCAGGACAGATATTAAATATCCCAAATATTAAACGTGTTAGCTCTCAGTGGTTCACACTGTCCTTTTCCAGCTTTTTATTTTTTTATGTTTTTTCCCCAGTGATCTCACATTATTATTCAAATTCTATAAAGTTATTTTTAAAAAATCTCTCAGATGCATTTTATTTATAATTTTTTTCTGTTGTCTCTCCCCCACCTTGTTTTTTTTCCTTTAAAAATGGATTGCAGATTGGGAAGAATTGATTAATTAAATCTTCTGCCTGGTCTTTAAATGGACACAGAACTACTCTTCCATTTCATTTCAGTTTTTAAAATACTATATTTAATAAAAAATAAATTTCAAGATCTAAATGAAGTATTATCAAATGGTTATGTTAATATCATATTGTATTATATGCTTTTATGAACTCTTTGTTTTTCAGGCCTAAGGATTGAACCCAGAGTTCATCTCAGCCCTTTTTTTATTTTGAAACAGGATCTTACTAAATCACTAAGTTCCCCAAGCAGGATTCAAAGTTATAGTCCTCCTGTGTGAATCTCTCAAAGTGTTGGGATTGCTGGTGTGTGCCACTGTGCTTGACTTAATGTTTAGCTTTTGGTTATTTATACTACAGAGTTGATTACTACATATATATTTTTTTAAATGATTATTTCTCAAGTGAGGTGATTTAAATAAATTTTCCAAAGTTTATAATGTCAAAGACAACTACCATAAAATGGTATTTTGGAAAAACTGCTATGAAGAGAATATATTTTCTTCCATTATCTCTTTTGTAGGTAGTCCTAGCTTACTGGTATCGCACATTTACAGGAATGATGAATTTATTTGGTATACAAACTAAGGTCTGCTGGAATGTCACCAGAGTGGGATTTCCTAATGAAGTTGAGAGCTGTGAAGGTCTGTGTCTCCCTCCAACCCTGCTATACTGTCCCTAGGGCTTTCAAAAACACAAGAGTCACTGTATATAAACAGCTGAGACACTTTTCCCTTTAAACAACACTAAAAATGATTCACCTCGTTGATTATTTTACACTTCAGTTTTCTGATAAAGCTCTCTATTGCTAATTTTTTTTAAACAGACAGACAACCTTTTACAAAATAGCAAAAGAACACTACAGACAATATGGAGTGACAAACAAAGTGGTAGGAAATTAACGATGCTTGTTGTATTACATATTGATATCTTCAAAGTGGTTTCTCATGAAAACAGATATAGACATGCAATGCTGATCAACCAAG